GTGACATCAATGACTATAAATTAAAGATATGTGTTAATAGTTAAGGCAATGCTAGCTAATATTAGAAAGGTGCTTCATGAAAAAATTCCCAAATTAAAACAAAAGCTTTGGTGAACATTGGCAGAAATGTTATCAGAAGCCCTCACGTTGCTCCAGTTTATCATTTTAAATGGAAAACGATGACAAGTCTTCCTAAGATGAGCAAGTAGTGGCTGCACTTTTTGCAGAACATGCATGTAGATATATTTGATGCAGTATTACATCATCGCCTGCATGTGTTCGTCCAATCTGATGCAATTTGTGAGAAATTATGCAAAATGTTTATGCTGGAGATGACAGAGTTTTAAAGGGGATGCACTTCCTTTGGACACTTTTCTCTGGGATCTGCAAAGCTTTTCTTCTTCCTCGATCCTCAATCTTTAAACTTGTTATTTATATAGAAAATCGATGAATAAGTGGACCAGAGATGTTCTAAAAATAGCCAATGAGTAGATTGTCCAGACTGTCACAATGAGACCAACTGAAATACAGAAACACAAAAAATCTCCAAACAACAGCCAAAGTTTAGTTATGAATCAACATTTATTAGTTATATTTGTATATGTACACCAAAGGTACAACACTTATTGATATGTAGAAACAGATTTTTTTTATGTATACCATAGACCGAGGAAAGAATTCATGTTTTTTTTTTTTCGTTTTTTCGACTTTTTTTTTGTTTTTTTTTCTCGATAGTGTATATTCCCCGCCCGCCCTCCCGCCCCGCCCTCCCCACACATACTCTCTGCCTTTACATCAAGATTACAACAGCTTTACAAAGAGGGAAGGCCTAGAAAAGTAAGATCTGGAAAGCACATTGTAGGCAGGAGCGAGACAGGTTATCAGCTCTGTTTTAGGAGTTTTCTTCCAAAAAAAAAAAAAAAAGACAGTAGAAAAGGACAAGCTCGAAGGTATATACTGGCTCTTCGTCGTGTCGATCGGTTTCCATGTGGTCGGTACCATTTAGCTGAGCAAGTTCCAAGTGTGTGTGTGTGTGTGTGTGTGTGTGTGTGTGCATATAGTTTGTGTAGACAGCAAAAAAAAGGCAAGTGGAGTAAAGGCAGTTTTTACCGAGTGGGATTTCTATCAACCTCTCTGATGGCGGATGGCGCGACAGAGGCGTGAAGATGTAGGAACACAGAAGCTAAAAGATCTAGATGTGCTGCAACTTGAAAATGCACCAGGTAAACAAAGATGCCTGAGACTAAAGTCAATTTTTTTTTTGTTTTCTTAGTTTTTTTTCCCCTTTGAAAAGACAAAAACGTTTCAGATGACTCACCTGAGGAAAGCTGCTCTCTACTGTAACAGGCATTTGAATACAATTGATGTTTGTTCTTCCTCTCAAATCAACTACTCGGCTGTGTTTGATTCCTCGCTCTATCCTACGTGCAGGGCAAATTTGACCTTTTCCTCTATTTGTCTTGCTATTCACGAACCTTTATATCGCAGTAATTTCCGTCCAAATAACTCGTGTTGGCCCCCCTTTTTTTAAACCAGAAACTTCCCCTTGTTCTTTCTCACTCTCTTTCTTTCTTTCTCTTCTTCATGCAAACAGTGTATATTTCTTTTTTTTTTTAATAATTTTCTTTCAGGATCACTGTAATATCCGGAAAACTCTGCATTGCCACTGAACAGAACAATTATATATTTATGTATGTACAATGAAAATGAATTCACACTGCTTATATCTTCATGGAACAAACATTCAAAACGCTTACATTAGATACAAAAAAAAAGAAAAAAAGAAAAAGATATTTATATATTGGTGTGTGACAGGTAAGTAAAACAACTAGTTAACAGCTATTAGAGAATAAAAAAAAACCAAGCATTTTATTACACGATTTCCTCTCTATACATTTTGTCTAATCTAGTTTTACTCAGGACATAGATGATTTTTTTTTCTCTCTCTCTAGAGGATTACATTAATAAAAATGTCACAGCAATGAAACTATACTCCTACATACCATTTCAATGCCCCCCAAAAGAAACAAAACAAACCAAAAAAAAACAAAAAAAACATCTGTTACCTACAATATATACACAAAGTGCAAGGAGGCACTTCAATATATCATGCTTTTTAAGATAGTGGTGCAAAAAATAATTATCATTTTTTAAAATTTTATTCATGCTTCTAAAACCGTGAGTTTGAACATAATAGTGGTTCAACACTCAATCCCCATTGGTGACACCATGGTCTGCATTGTCTCCTCACAGGAGAGATGTGTGTATTTATTTTTTTATTATTTTTTCCCTGAAGATCACGAGGTCAAAAGATGATTATAGAAATGTAGTGACCTTCAGGGTTTATGAGTGTTTGCATCTGTGTTTGTATGTCTGGAAAAAAAAACAACAACAACAACACGCATGAATGTGTGCATCAGTCTACGTGTCGAGCAGAACGCCGAGCGTGTCGAACTTCTGTTAGGCGAGCTTGGCAAAAACAAAAAAAACAACAAGAAGTTGTGTGTTTGTAGAACTAAAGGACAGAGTGCTGCGCTACGTGTCGTGTTAACGTTTCCTACTGTTACTTGAATCTGTTTCCAAGTGAACACCTCCAAGGCAAGGTCGTCATTAAGCACAAACGAATAAAGAAACGAGAGAGCAGAGAAGGATGCGACGATGGCAGAGAAATCAAATCCGCAGAAGTCTCACTCACACAGGCTAGAAAAGATTAACAGCCAGTAGTCCTGCTATGTTTGTGTGTTTGCCACCTCTTTTTATTTATGTTTAAAAGTCATTTGGTTCTATGAGAGGATTATATTTCTATTACCTGATAGTTGGCAACATTCTGGCATAATGCATGTTAGGGTGTATGTCCACTGTTCTGATCTCAAAACAACAAGAAAAAAGACGCCTTCTCACTAATGTGGACATACAGCTGCAGCATCTAGGGTTTGTAGAAACAGTCTTGAGCTCTGGTGGCGGAAAGTATATTGTTTACCTTTACAGGTCTGGCTAAACAAGAAGCTGGCAAGCCTCCCCGAAGAGTGTTATATGAATGATCTGTCTGTGTTTGTGCAAGCCAAGAATCCATCTGACAGCTGAGTGCTGCTCTGCTTCTTCCTCGGTTTCTCTTTTTTAAATGTTTCTGCTGGTTCACCTTCTGTGCTCTGTCAGTGTTTAATAATAACTGTGTCTGTGCTTTTCAGATAGTACACCGGTTCACAGGATCATTCAGCTGCTGGAATGCAGTCGGAAATATGCGTGTGCTTTCTGTTTGTGCCGGGAAACCTCCCTTTCCATCTTATTGTCATATTATAATATTACTTTTCTCTCAACAAAGGCAGTAAACTGTTGTGCTGTTAAGAGGCCTTTTTTTTTTTTTCTTGAGGTGAAAAGCTCTAAAGAGCAAGTAAACATTTTAGGGATTAAAACTTTTAATTTTTTTCCCCCTTGTAAAAGAGTAAACATACAAGCCTGAGTATCTTTGAGTTTTAAAAATTCTTTTTTTTCCTAAACTTGGAATGCAATCGACATGGAACGATAGTATGCATGACTCTGATTGGTTTAAATTTAACCTCATTGGCATTTTGGCTTCATTTGTGCTCTTTCATTTTATTTGTGCTCTATAAAATCTCTCATTTGTGATCAGATTTATGTCTTTTTTTTTTTTTAATTTCATTTTAATTTCATTGGCATCAAAAGGGGTCATTTTCCTGAAGAGAACCAAAAAAAAAAAAAAAAGGGAAAGTACTGAATAAAGTTTCATGTTTAGGGCAGTGATTTTTCTTAGCTGTGAGGAACATCCACTGCTGTGCCGGCCAGTTAATATAAAGTCGATGGACAACGTAAGAGAACTTGAGTGACGTCATGGAGGCAGTTCCAAGGCCTCTGTCAGTTGATTGATTTCCTGCCTGTTTGGTCCCTATAGTTGACTTGGTCATGTTTTTGAACCTTCTCGCTCTATCACACACACAAATTAGTTTCAAATCTCACTCAACAGGTGAAACAAAGAAATAAAGTCCCTTTTCTAAACAGTAGACAAAAAAAAAGGAGGATTAAAAAGAGGATTTGTGCTTCAGAATTCCACTTATTGATCGTAGGTTTATGAGGCTCAGCGTTGTTTTTCCTCGTTCACTCTCCCGGACTCTTTTCAACCGTTTGCTCGTCCTCGGGGGATTGTGGGTAATATCGGGCGAATGTAATTGCATCCAGATGCACTTTAAAAGACTCTGACAGGTAAGTTGTAGGTAAAGAAAAAGCCGTGGCCTTGTGCGCGCATTCTGATGGCGCTGACGGGGATGCAAATCAAGGACACGGTACATTGGTTGTCACGATTAATGCTCTAACTTCCCACCACCACCACCACCGTCCTCTGACATCAGGAAGTTGGTCTCATTGCATCCCCACCGCCGCTTCTTCATATAAACGTAGAACCAGGATGTATTGCTAAGAATAGCCTAGCTAACATACATATATATATATTTTTTCTCTCTTCCTTCCCTCCCCAAGCCTTGAAGTATTTTGTGCAAGTATCTGCTATACAGGACATAATTGCGCTCTATCAGGTGAGGTATACCTATATTATCATTTCACGGTTAAGTGAATTAGTATTATATATCAGTCAGATAGACAGTTACAAAAACCTTTTTTTTTTAAAAAGGGACTAATAAAAAAAAAAAAGAAAACTAAGCTACATAAAAAAAAACAAAAAAAAAAACAATTAGTAGTTCTGTTCGTGTGACTTTTCATTCACTCCTCTCTTTTTTTTTTTCTCATCACCAGATAGGAAAAGCTTGTGGAGCCCAGGAGCAGGGGATCTCTGTGCTGCCATTATTCATGTTTCCATGGTTCCTCCTCAACAAGCGTGCACTCCGCAGCAGAGCCGTTAGTGGCTGAGGTTACCTGGATCCAAGACACAGTTTAAAAAAAAAACACATTTCTCATCAAACTTTGGATAAACTAGCTCGTTACAAGCTTCCATCAACGATTCAATGCTGCCATTTATGAGATATTAAACATCAGACGAGCAATGTGATTGGTCAGCCGGGCTTATAATAACGCTTACATGACACGCCTGATCACAATTCATGCCATCAGAAAAGCAAATCTAACCGGCTGCAGCTTGGGTAAATGTTTTGGATAACACACATGAGCGTTGTGGTAAAGCCAGAATGCCCTTTCTTAAAAATTTGGGGTGCTTTGGCAATTAAAACACAGCCTGATGAGGTAGATTTGCTATTTTGCAGCATGTTAAAATTTAAAAACAACCACTATGGAGGAATACTGGAACTCCTGGACTCATGATCATGCTTGTGGGAGTCCTGACAGCGGAGTTGCTGACCTGAGGACAGACATTTACGATGATCACAGACTCAACAGGCAGTAAAAAATAATAATAACAAATAAAAATAAGGACAACAAATGAATAAATTATGATTATAGTACATACACATTGCATGAAAACAAGGTACAGACACTACAGAACGAATGCACTGTTATGGTTTAGCCACTTTGCAAGCTCTCACTACGGCTTCTTTGGAATGAGGTTAGAAATGTGAGTATTTACAGGCAAAACAAAACAAAACAAAACAAAAAAAAGTCACGGTCGAGGCTGAAAATAGCTGCCTTTGTGTCACATTTATATGTAAATGGCCGTTAATAAATGGAGGCTGAGAAAGGAGGATCCAACTTTTCACTCTGGACAGACCGCTGGTGTGACAGGTTACCAGTGTTGCTAGGCAACACCCTTCATCCTTTAATAAATGAATAGGCTCATCAGCAGACCTTTTCCACCCTTGTGTGTGTGTGTGTGTGTGTGTGTGTGTGTGTGTGTGAACTCTCATATATTATTCCAAAAGCCTGGAATACATTCAGCGATGGAATTCAAAGTGCTTTACGTTTTTTGCATTATGGGAGCTCTTGATTTCACAACACGGGAAGAAATAGACGGTGTCAAGCTGCAGAAGCCCTGGCAGCGAGTGACTCATTACCAGCGTGGTAGAAGGGTGTATGTAGGGAATGTATGAACTGCTAATTAGCTCTAACACATGCCTCTCTGTGTCTCTAAACCCTCCAACAAGTGGTGACCCTTCAGAAACAAACTGGCTAAACAGTTAAAATCAGCAGCGTTTTAGGACAGAGCTCAAAGAATCACGCCGTAGAAATGTTTTATCAAGACACCGGTTTGAAAATGAACGTATTGTGAACTTTTAATAGACTAGGAGGCTGTTAAATTATTCCTCAGGGTCATAATGAGGATTATCTGGCTCTGCCTTTTGAGTTGGAGCCAATCCTCAACAGGTTGCATTCATCAGATTAGGCAAACCCCAGAGAGAGAGAGAGCTGATTTATCCTTCATTTGTATGCACTGATGTTGAGCAACGCTTTGAGCTGAGCTTTACGTTTTTTTTTGGTTTTTTTTGGATGTTCTTTGAACACAAAAGCTGCTACTCCAGAGGAATCCATACATATGTACACATGCATCTGTTGTTCTCTTGCTTCACTACTGACATAAAATCACAGTTTGCATCGTCGTGCACAAAGATGAAAGGAAACGTCAAGCAGACAGAGTCAAACAGGTGCAGGGTGAGCATGCGAGAACAGAGATAGGGTTATATAGAAGTCTCTACGTCCGTAAGCATTAATTGTACCTTGCATTCATCTACTACGACAGAATTGTTAGCGGTGGTGCTAGCAGTTGTGGTAGCGGTAGCGGTTAAGACGCACTGGTTGGAATTGTTTTCATGGTGGTTCTTCATGTCGTCGTAATAAGACTGGGTCTTCGTCATCATTTCGATGTCGTCAGATTTAGCCATGTGAGCGTCCAGCTCTTCCAGCTCCGCCTTGGACATGTGGTACACGATGCCTGCACCGTAGGAGTCACCCACCACATTCACTGAGGTCCTGAACCGATCCCTGAGGAGAGAAACCAGGATCAGAGGCACGAAAACCAAACCCCCCCATGTAGAAGTAAAGGGAAGCGTCAGTGTGTCACGATATACGATTTTCTTTTGTCACACTCACAGCAGCCAGTCGACAGCAACCAGCAGACTGATGTCCTGGGTTGGCAGGCCGACAGCAGTCAGGATCAACAGCATAGTCACCAGTCCGGCACTGGGAATACTGGCTGCCCCAACACTGGCCAAGGTGGCTGTCAGACTGGATAAACACACAGGAAAGCAGCATGAACACACGCTCGAAGCTTCACCTCCAGCGTCCACTCCGCCACAACTCTTCAGACGCCACTCAGCGCTGCACCTCACAGACATTCGCTCTCTGCGGTGCTTGTGTAAAGAGCAAGGGCTGGAGAGCACCGGAGTGGGCCCTCCATCGCTCACGAGGAGAGGTTTAAACGTGAGAGATAGGATATTTAATTTGAGAGTTCATGGATTTATATCCCATAAAAATGTCAGAGCGAAGGTCATCCATCCTCAGCTCAGTCTATTACAGGAGGAGCGTTTGGGAATGATTGTTACAGATCTTAAAAAAAAAAAAAGAAGAACAGAGCAAGTGGCTGGTGTTTGTCTTCTTGCTGAACACGAGGCATGGCACTGGGACATGTTGTTCCTTCCTTCCTTCTGGTGGTTTATTTGTTGCACTGTGAATTCCTCCTCTAAATTAGCTGCTTTGAGCCGTGCAGGTTTTTCTGCTCGCTGTTAAATGCCTCGACTCTCCTGCTGAGTTTGTCCTCATTTATTAAGAGCTAACTGAGTTTGCTGAGCCGCATTTGCAGGACTCCATTTAAACCTTATTTAAATGGTGGCAGTTACAGCTCTTGCTGCTATGACTGAGAATAGCTTTTCTCAAGCCACAGTCTTAACATTTGTCTTTAATGGAATCCATTTAAATCCATATTTTCATCCAGGTGTTGCTCAGCTGTTGCATTCAAGACCCAATCTTTCCACTTACACTAAACTATAAGTGTGTGATGTATTTCAATTTAAAACCTCTTCAACTGTGCAACCAGTGCACTTGAATATCTTTTATGTACAAAGCACTGGTGTTTCTCTGACCTGACTGTGACAATCTGACCAGGGTCAAGGTGGATGCCGTTCATCTGGGCAATGAAGATGGCCGCCACAGCCTCGTACAGGGCAGTTCCATCCATGTTGATGGTGGCACCGACCGGGAGCACGAAACGAGTGACTCTCTTGTCGATACCCAGATTCTCCTCCAGACAGCGGAAGGTGACAGGCAGTGTACCAGCACTAAACGGGGATTTAGAAAAAAGAAACTAGATTACACACGAGTAATTATTTGGATAAATGTTAAGACTGATTCGTCTACGCCGATGCCGACCTGGAGGCTGTCCCCAGAGCAGTGATCCAGGCCTGGAAGATGCCCAGGAAGAAGGTAAAGGGGTTTTTCCTGACGATAACGAAGTAAATGCTGGGCAGGAAGATTGCTCCATGGATGATGAGACCTATAATCACAGTGATCATGTACATGCCCAGCTGCCTGGCCACCACCTCCAGGTCCTTGATGGAGATGATCTTGCCACAAATCAGACAGGCAATACCGAAGGGAGAGTACCTAGTGAGATGGGAAAAAAAACCACGTCTTGTTACTTTAAACGTAGCTTCGGATACAGAAAGAATAGAAACAGTGAACACAGGTAGAAGGTTCTAAAATCCTACACTGATATAAAAGGTTATTTCTGATTCCAGTGAGCTTCAGTGAATCTTAAGTGCTACTGACCACATGATCATGATGACAAGCTTCATCACGATCTCGTTGAGGATGTTGAAGAATTCAATCATGAGTCTGGCCTTCTCTCCCATTTTGCCCATGCAGATGCCAAATGCGATAAAGAAACCGATCAGACCTGCGACAGAAAATCAGACACACATCAAACTTTGAACATCAAAATTGAACATCTCAGCAACAGTTTTCCATGAAGTTTAGTGAAGACATTTAAGGGAGCAGCTGGCTGAATCCTCATGACTTCCTTTAGCAGACGCTTTTATCCAAAGCAACGTACATCTGAGATCACATTCATGCACCAATGGCAACAGAGCTGCCATGCAAGGTGCTGCCTGCCATTCAGGAGCAACTTCAGCTTCATTATCTTGCCCTTCAACTGTGGAGGGGCGGGGGATCGAACCACCAACCTTGCGATTAGAGGACAACCACCTGAGCCACAGTCGCCCCGTTTTTCAGGGAAATGTCTGAACAGTAAAATACTTTTGCAAAACTACACTAAATCCAGATGCATGCTATAAAATGCAGCACTGTTTGAAGTAAGTGGTACGCACCCAAAACATTCATGCCACTTTTGAACTGCAGTGACTTTTTGATGATGAACTGTGGCTCCTTGGTGATGTTTGCCACCAGGCCCTCCATGGTGGTGGCGTTGACATCCTCCTCAACAACCACCTCCACCTTCTTTGTGACCGTCTGGATCTGAAGGAAGATAACAAAGCGAGATGACTGACACTGGACCGGCTATAAAATTGCTTATGACACATTGTGCTTTTCTCTCTGCTAATAAATCCTCTGCTAGACTGTCCAAACACAAGCCTGCACAAGCCCACTCATTTCCTGACACACAAGTTTGTCATTTTACTCTGACTTAATATAGTCCGTGATAAACGCTGCCACTCATCTGAGGGAGTGACATCACAAACAGACCTGTTGGAAACAAGCCTGCACCAGGTTCTCCGGGAACAGGTTCCTGATCAGATCGAAGAAGGCATCCAAGCTGGACACGTCATCGTTCTTCTCGCCCTCGCCCAGATTCTCCTTCAGTTTGGGGTTGCCAGGGTGGATGACTAACACCAGGATGACTCCCAGGATAGCAGCGATGACAGTGGTGGACATGTAGTAGACCATAGCTCTGGTGCCCAGGCGACCGCTAGATTTGGCGTCCAGACCGGCCAGACCTGCACCCAAAACAAGCAAGACGATGTTTACCTGGTAAATACTTATGAAAATGTTGACTCATGTGGATGCGAAGACCATCAGAGGATTACATTAGCACTTGACTGTGAGCGTGACAGAATAAACAGTCAACTATGATTTTAGAATCAGAATTACAACAATAACAATGCTTTTTTTATTCATGTCTATTCATATCTATATGTATTTGTTGCTCACTGTTCACGAAACAGAAAATGCAAAGACACCAGCAAACTATTTAAAACGTCCAACGCTCTCGATGCATTTCACTACGATCGGCCACACTGCACCTGTGATTAAACTGGAGATGATGAGTGGCAGGATCAACATCTTCAGCATCCTCATCAGGATGTCTCCGGGGAAAGCAATCACCATGACAATGTCTGGGTGGATCGGGGAGGCGACGCGAAGCAACATCCCTGATACAGCTCCCAAGATCACACCTGGAGTGCAACGAGAGATGAGTGAAGAAGTGGATCTGAAGATGTTTAGATTTCAGAAAATACATCACCTGTGAATGCACATTTTTAAAAATCCCTTTATATTCTGTAACAAAAACGCTTCTCTGACGATTTGTCCTCAAAGACGTCTTAATAACTGCCCCCCCCGCCTTATCAATTCAGCAGTTTGGAGCCTGTCTGCTACATCCTTTGGGAGGACAGTGGGTTGTGCAGATAAAACGGTAACCTGCTAAGAGAGCGTAAAGCTCATGGAGGATTAAGATCAGATTCCTTTGAAGCAGCGGGGGGAGGAGGCAGCATGTCAGATTCCCTGGTGAAGCATTTGTAATCTCTGCAAACCTGAAACACTTTCCAGGATTTTTTTTTTTTCCCCACTTTGTGGCTGTAAAAGTAAAAAGGGCTAGAATTCAATAAAAGATCATCTCAAGCTCACTTTGTACCTCACTGAGCTATATCTACTGACTGACTGCTACCCTGCCTATCCCCTGACCTCTGTCCACCTGGACGGCTGAAGAAGAGCGACATTTTAAAGACCAGCTCCTCTCAGACGAAATCCTCGCTGACCCTTCGGAGACATAATGCCTTCTTCTAAACTAGCAGCTCTTTTCCTGCCACACACTGAGAGTCGAGTTGACCTCCGTGTGCTCTAGCCCCCCTCTGCCCGGTGGTTGGCCTCTGTGTCTGTCTGTCTTAGTCCAGACAAAACTCCAACATCCCCCCGGGCGCTGCACTTCCTCTGCCAAAGATAACACAGCCTCGATATGTTGTTTAATAACATACACTGGAATCAAAAGCCCTCCAGCTTTTTTTCTAAAAAAAAAAAAGTGCAAGTTGTTCTCTGTGCTTCAATCTATCCTCCCAGTCTAGCAGCATCCTGTGGATTCTGCACACCCAATGGTTTTGGATGGCACTTGATTTCCTGTGCCTCCCTTTGGCCCATTTGCAAGTTCCCCATTCAGCCTCTTATCTGCCAAGTGACAGATGATCAATGATCACGCTGGCTCACTCGCCTCACAAGAGTCCTGCCAAGCGGCGTGAGATGTACACATTACATTCAAACACACACACATAAGAGCAGACAGAGATTAAATAGGTTAAATATACACACACACTTATGTGCATTTATACAGTTTGAAGTTCATAGTCTGCAGAAATGATTGAGTGGCCACATCGCTGTCAGACACAGCAAATATTAAAATATATATATATCTAAACTGGTGAATCTAATTATGAGCTAACCAGAAATTGCATCACTACCTTCGTGCCCTTTCCTCTTTTATCTTTTTTCATTAAACCACCCCCTCCTGCAGCGCAATGAGCCACCGCTATAATCACAATACTTTTCATGCATCACCAGAGGCTGTTTGGGTGTCCAGCGCCGCCACAGAGCTTTTGATAGCAACAGGTGGCACAGAGCTGGGGAAGGTCAGAACACCCAGTCATCTTACTGTCTGGTACACTGAGCACAGATGGCATCTCCTCTTCATATTACAAGCGAAGCCGCATAATTGAGCTCCAAGTTAACAGAAGACTCAGTGGTAGTCGGCGTCTATCTTTAGCATGTTGTGCCTTTTTTTTTTTTTTTTAAATCAGGTCCTTAAGGTAAAAAAAAAAGAAAGAAAGAGGGGAAAAAGTGATAATGAGGTGACTTACCGAGGACGGTGAGTGTGAGCAGAAGGTTCTTGAACATTTTGGAGCAGATTTTGGCACATTTCGACTGAGGCCTGGCCTCGATGGGCTCCAGGTGACTCTCATGCATCCTCACCTCCACTTGTTTAGGCATACTGTTGGCACTGCGACAAAGAGAAATGAGAGGGATGTTTACAAAATGCAAAACCATCGGGTCGAGCTAAACACACTCCTGGCCGTGCAGCATTATTCAGCGGTTTGCAACGGGCAATGTGTGAGGAAGAAGGAGGCTCCGTTAGCTCTACAACAAAACATGGAAACCAGATCATTCGGATGTGCATAGTGTCTCTGAAAACCGTGATAAGTTTAAAAAAAAAACAGTGCATAATGAAAAATGTTAAGCATTCAAGTGTTGCCAAGCTGTCACTCCAACGCTTCATGGTTACTATAGCATCCAACAGATGGAAGCTGACGACAAGCTGCTGCCTGCCTTCCTTTGGGGCGAAACTTCAGACATGAAGCATCTCAAGTCCGTTTATTAAAAGCTCATTGTGTGGATCTTTTTTTTTAGAACTGAATTTGTTGCAGATTTTCGTGTGGGCGTTGCTCTATATTTGCACAAAAAGAAGAATTTTGGTTTAGCTTCAGAGGAATTGCTATAATGTAGAGATTCAGCAGGATTTTAATTAAAAACTGCTGTGATGTAGTGAAGCAGTTAGAAAATCTAAATGCAAATTTCAAGTTCGCTGACATTACACCAGAGAACTGTGTGTGGTGACCGTGTACATCCCTCAGGACAGTCAAGACGAATAGACAGAGAGACAAAAATAAAACAAGAAACTTTTAAACCCTCTTATCCTCTTTCTCTGTGTGTCTCTCTCTCTGTTTAGAATACACTGGAATTACTTTTAGAATCACTCCAAACCTCCCGTACGACTGCAGGAAGAGCGGGCGCGGCGTAATTAATTGAATGAAAAGTGATTTTCCCATTACAGGCAGCGTGGAGCAGTTTCCTGCAGTCCCATCGAGGTGTGAATTGATTTGTTAGCGAGAAGAGAGCCAGCTGTGTCTGTCACATGCCAGTTAGGCAGGTGTTCAACAACTCAGCCGGAGACAACGGACTCAGGAAGAGAAAAGGCGGAGAGGCGCCGTGGCTTTTTGCATTCATCATCAACAAGTTGCAGTCGGGAACAATATATCAAATTAGAGCGCTTGTTTTGACGTCTCTTTTTTTTTTGTCTGTGCGGACATAAAAACTGTCAGTGCTGCCATTCATCCCCAATAAGGCCCATGAAAGTGTCTGCCGTGATGGATTACAAAGAACAGCAAAGAGGAAATAATGTGACAGTGACCTTTAACCTCACCGCGGGGTTCACGGCCTAAAACACACAAACGGAAGCTTGAATGGTGATTTTTTTTTTGTCCTCAAACCCTCCTCCCCCCTCCTCCAGATAGCTCACGATGAAGTCACAACACTTCAGAGATATTAATCATGTCAGCCGTCAAGCTTTTTTTTTATCCCCCTCCCATCTTTCAAAGCTGAAACTTGATCAAAGGCGTGACAGAGAGCTCAAACCAACAGGACACATTGGGAGAATTTCCTCTCCAGCGACGGGGTCTTCATTGTGTTATTGTGCGAGTAGCCGCCGATGAATCCACATGAACACACAGGCTCCGCACACTTACGCACACCTCCCCCAGCTTTGTGTGTTGCGGCGCTGAAAGCTTGGCTATAGGAAGACCACCTGGTCAGCTTCCAGGCACGCAGATGGACCAGTCCTATCTCTGCTTATTAATTTCAAAGTGAAGTGTGAAACAGCAGGCAAATTACAGCCACGTTATTCTCCACCTTCTGAGTTTATTTCATACTTCAAATAAAAGCTGGAGAAATTTGTTTTAAAAAAAACAAAAAAAAAACCCAGAAATAAAATGTTGGAAAAATTAGCACCAGCAAGTAATCCCATTCCATAAGAGTGATGAGTGCAGTTAATTGAATACCCCCCCTCCTCCCTTTTCCTCCTCATCCTTTCATTATTTTTAGCACTGAGGGAGGAAGCAGGCAGTATTCTGTCATGGTCGTCTCATTAGCACTTCTCTCCCCAAGTCAGAGACAGATGAGAGAGCAGGTTTGTGTGACCCCATGACGGATTAATATGAAAATGTATAGCAAAGAGTCATCAGAGAACTATAGATTTCACATCACAGGGAAATGGCTGTGAGTTGTTTTTTTTTTTAATGCTACAGAGTAATTTTACTTGATGAAAATTCCTCTTGTTGTACATAATTTTAGCTTTGATTAACATTTCATGAGCCTGAAATTAGTTCTCTGTGCACCAGCCAATAACTCAGAGATATAAAAGTTTTCAGCATCCCATTGAGTTAGATGGGTCTGGGCTGCTTCTTTTAAGAAACTGCAAATGCACAAAATGTCACCGAGATGTTAATATCCACTCATAAAGAAAGTTTCATAGACTGTAATCCGATTTCACAAAAAAATAAAAAATGTTCGGTAGAAAATCATAATTCAGACGTGTAGAGAAAAAAAAATGCAGATACAGTTTCTCCTCCTCAGTCTCTAATGGGATCATCCTTTAAACCGGTTAATCTTGGCCAAGGGCTTAGTCAGATTAATTACATTACAGGGTTGTAAAGCCATGAAGAATTAACGAAGGTCTTAACAAAACTACACCTACCCAGGTCGCACACAATCTACACAGAAAGATGATCCCTTGTTCACTTGCACACCTTCGTACAAAAACTTTCAGATGTTGCATAAAGAACACACTGTAAAGGTAAAAGAAACGCATATTGTGCCTGAAACTACAAATGCAGCGTACTTACTTCATTTCTAGAGGAGTTGAGGTAAGTGCTATATACATTGACCAGTATCAGATCTCCAGCCTTTGGTATTTAAGAGCGAACCAGCACAAGAAAAGGATTAGAGGGATCACGACTGCTCCATCCAAAAAAACGTTGCCAGATGTCAGCAGGATAAGGTCCCAGGTGAAAACAACCGAGCTCTGCTGACAGCTAGCCGCTCTCAGCTGTCCACCAGCTCGTCCAAAGCATCCAGAGAGGAGCAAGTCAACACAGCCCAGACGACGGACCCAGTCACAGCCACGGCAACCTGAATTGCCCCATCCTGATGTCTGCAGGAAACCCCCCCACCTCAGCCCCCACCCCCTGACTTCACCACCCACACAAGTAGCTGCACACACATGCAGACACACAACAACTCCTGGAAGTAAATAAATAACTATTAAAAAAAAAAAGAAGAAGAAGTGGAGGGAGGAGTTAGCATCTAAGCTTAAGAGTCAAATCCCTCAGGGTCCCTCCATTCCCTGGACACTGTAATCCCCCCCGAGAGCATGCTTCCACACTCATCCAGATACCGTGGATAGCGCGAGAGAGGCCAGGCTGCTGGGGATGATGATGATGATGATGATGATGATGCCCTGCTAATGGCACACAGTGCAGACAGTAGTGCTTTGTAAGTAGCCCTTTTGCAGTAATGACAAAGGAATGACGGATGGAAGATTTAACATCCATAATGTTGCCGTTTGAGCTCATCCTGATGGACAGTAGATAAGAGGTTAATGTTTGCTGGTGATTAAGTGAACATATATCATGAGGTGTATTTTCCCTCTGTGTGTGTGTGTGGGTGGGTGCATAAAAAAAAGAGCCACCATATAAGGTCCGCTTCAAGTCACACACTCCAACATATAGATTTACGTATTCCCACAATTCAGCAGGACTCCAAAGCACTGAACTCCAAAGCACAGGCGACCTATGTGATTCATGCGAGGATGGTGTCACGCTGATTTCCCTCTAGTCTCCCAGCAGCATGGGACTTCACATCGTATTGAGCAGTATCACATTATTCTAATTAGGGAAATGTGTTGGAAAGCTATTTCCTCTTCAAACAAATGACCAACAGCACAACAAAAGCCAGAGGAATGCCATCTCCGTCTGCAAAGGTTGTGTCATGAGAAATCACTCATCCTAAATCCCTTGACATGTCATATGCATTCAAAGGGCTCTCTCAGGGGAAAAAAAAAAAGTTTTCGGGATGAGGGACCAGGACAGAGAAGAAGGGGTTACAGTGGAGGGGAGTAAGAGGGACACTAGGGGGAGAAAAGGGGGTACTGGGGTCACACCAGCACCTCTCAGCCAAAAGAGGGGCCTGTGTGAGGGGAAGGCCGAGGCAGCCATCCCCTGCTCTTGGCTGGTACCATGTGAAGCTCTCTGCTTCCTCTCTCTTCCTTCTGAGGGGCTTTGTTTCACACGCAAACAGTGGCAGTGGCCCCAACTCGCCCGGCCAAGCGCTGCATCCAAACTGGCAGGGGCGAGAAAAAGAAGGGGGGGGGGGCGTTCGAATGGGAGGGGGCGCGAGGGTATAGCGAGGAGAGAGGAGGGCAGTGGGCATGTCCAGAATGCCAGTTCTTTCAGGCCACTGATGTCATGCCTGTGCCCACCGTGGGAGAGCAGCGGAGGGACCAAGGCGCCCCTTTCTCTTTCCCCCTCCACAGTCTCTTTTTCCAGGATGAATGAATCTTTCAGAAGCTGCAGCCCATTGTGTCCCATAATCGACGGCGATTATCCCGATTTTATGCAGCCTTCCCAGTGCGAGGAGGTTCCCTGAGTGCTGGCATTGAGGGCCGCCGCGATGCAGCGAGGACCACGAGGGGTTGTCCTAGCAACACTCTGTGGCTCAGAGAGAAGGGGGATGAAGGGGAAAGAGGAAGCTCACAGCCACACACACACACACCCGCCACACAAACACACACACACCATATAAAGATGATGCACGGCTTTAAAGATCCGCAAAGAGAATGACATATTTTATCTTTCTGCTCTGAAGAAAGTTTGATTTGACAGACAAAGAAATAATGAATCCGTCCAAACGCTTTCATGAACTTCACAGGACGTTTTCTAGTGGAGCTGTTTTTTTCACTGTTTTTGCTGCATAACTAATGAGATACTGTCACACACTTTGCCATACGGTGCAACTCCGCCATTCACAACATGCGCTTACATAACAGTCAACATGTTTGCGTTGGGGACCGCCGTGTGTGGTTACACTTGTCTAACTCAGGTCGCCGCGGTCCATGCGATAGCACAGAGGGAGATGTAAATGAGAATACGAGTTTCCCACTGGTCTCTCGAGGGGCCCGATGCCCGTTCTCATGATTGGCGCATCACAATATACTCTGAGGTAAAGACAACTGGAGCCGGGCCAGGCTCCGGATATATCTGGCCCCTCTGGGCCTCACAGCCACTTGCATTACAGTGGGAAGAAACGGGCTCACACATACTGGCTGCCTAGGAGCTGTGAACCCTCCCCAGCAGCCCCCTCCAAAAGGAAGCTCTCAGCAAACACTTCAGGTTGTGCTGTGCATAGGAAGTGGGAGATAAATTCCAGCATGTGAAGAAAGGGAAGCTTTGTCACTCTACGCCTCTCAATTATGGATCCCTGGAAGGTTGTTGGGACGAAAACACTCGGTGATGGCGATAGAGAGACGTCCAGAAGTTATCAAACTTTGCATATTGTCAAAACCAAATAGCAAATCTAACTCGACATTATGCTTTTCCGTATTCATGACTGTATTGTTTCTCCAAATTAGGCTGCACAACAACACACGAGCATTTTATATCCGCCTCTGATCTGCAACACAATCATTTGCTGTGTGTATGAACTCATTTCCAGTTGGAATCCACTCATCCACACAAAACACACTCCTCGCTTCCTCCACCAGCTACTGCATCGCTGCTGGTGAATCCGAACCTTTATTCTCTAGAACTGGTTAATTTTAAAAGAGCAGGAGCAAAGAGTCAGTCAGTGGTCCACTTGAAAGCTGTCTGTCTTGAACCACTTCCAAGTGAGCCCTGCGGTGAGAATACAGTCTTGATCAAAGGCGGGCACGAGGCCAAAGGAACTTCACGTTGAATGAAGCAGATTTTTGCTGATATTCACCCAAGCCAGCTCCACGCTGTCACTCACTGTTGTCGGACTGAATTAAAATGCTAATCAACGAACGCAGAGCAAGCGACACATTCTTAAGGACACGAACCTGCAACACCGAACAATGAGTCAATTTGTAACCCGACCGCACTTCTGGTGTGAAGTTTAACTTCCTATATAGATGTTTCTTTATTTTATTGGAGCAAAAAGTAGGTAAGAAAATATTAAAAGCACGTTGGTGGTGCATCGAATATCTCAAAAGAGCGCCTGCAGCACAATCAGATCGCTCCATTTAGCCAATCAGGTGAAGCCTCGGCTGGTTAGCTCAATGGAAAAACAAGGAAAATGAGTTTTAAAAAGTAGCAGGTAGAAGTAAATTAACTCAAATTGAATTAATTTTCTGTTTATCTGGTTGCATATTCATGCACAGTTTGCAGCTGTTTGAAGTAATTTAGTTAATTTCTTTATTCAGCGGGCGTAGGATATTCAGCGTTGGCAGCGTACCTCTTAAAACAGGAAGACACAGGAGCTGTACATCTAAAAGCCGCTCTTTAATATTTGCTCATTTATTGCACATCATATTGTTTTTAAAATATTAGACGATTTTCCTCATGTCATGGAGCTGTTAGAAATATTCATCATGTGGCAGTTATGCTTTTTTAGGATAGTATTTTCAACTTATGAGTAAAATAATGCTTATACGGAGGAATATGGTTATATAGAACGTATTATCCAATGACCTGTAACAAATTTTAAATTCTACACGTGTGTATTTTTATTCACTAACTTCTGTAAACACTCCATCTTGACCATGTCTACTGCGATCGACTGATTTAACACGTCACCCCTGGGGGCTGCAAAGGGCCATCCTTGACAACATTTGGGCCGTCTGCCCTTGAAGGTCTAAAGCCTTCCAGACTGATGTGGTGTGCAGGGCAGGTATTCAGTACCACGGTCAGCTACACAGCCTCAGGCTTCAGCGCAGGTCAAACTGAAGGAGCTGCTTTTACCAGACCTCGAGGTGGGCGCCGTGGTATCACCGTCAGCGCCGAGGCCATTTTTAGAAAATAATCTCCGCGCAGACGAGCATTTTAAAGTAATGATCTCGGTCCAAACTAACAAGCCAGAAAATGCACACGAGTTTTCATGTCCGCATGCTGGTGTAAACAGGATGCAAAATACAGAGTTTAACTATACAACAGCTGCTAGCACGAAGAACAAGCTACCAGGAGTCACACCTAGAACATCTATTAGGATTTTCTGTTGTAATATTCTAGAAACAGCAGGCAGATGTTTGGTAGCAGAAGTTTTCACATGAATCCATACACTGAGGAGAAGTCCAGCAGCAATTGCACTAATGACTGCTAATCTCTTCTCCAGTTACTTTCCCTGCTGAGCAGTAATTTGCAAAATGCTTCATGTCTTGTATACAATATCTGTGACACTCAGTTTCCCTCCTTTCAACCCATTTTCCATGTCTCACTATTATATTTTACAATAAGGCTGCGTCACCGATCCTGGCAGTTTCTAAATGACCCATACGTGCCCGTCTCTCAGCATCCTCTAAGGTTTCCCTTTGTTTAGCGCCACTCTTTGTGTCCGTAATGAGGCGGTGATTACAGAGCGTCTCTGTGAATCCTGAGGCGAGTGTTGTAGTCTGCCTATGCCTCTCAGATGTGACCAGTCCCACCGTAATTATGCCCTAACAGCCCATTATACCGGGGTGTGATTGTCACAGGGCCGGATTAGGTGATTCCAATTCATCTGGATAATATCTGAGAGCTTGATGGGATCTAATTCAATCACGATCTACTTCACAGATGAACCGCATTTGAGTCTCTTTTTTTTTCCCCACTTCAAAGCAAGCTACTCTCAAACCTCTGACATTCCATATTTCAGCTTTTACAGCCCTCACTC